AACACTAAGTTTTGCAACTTTTCTCATAACTTCCCTCTCACTCAACATGGTGCACTCAAATTTTGCCACTGTGTTGGTTATTATGTATACTACAAGCGCAGCTGCTGTCCTAGCAAATTCTGACGTCGCAGTGAGGGTTACGGTAGGTGTATGGTATGGAGGGGAAAAATTCAAAGTTTGACGGATTTGGCTGAAACTTGGCATAGGGATGTTATCCGACATGCTGATCACGAAAGCGATAGTGAAATTGTGTGATAAGGGCTTTTTTGTAGGATTACTGTAGGTGTACGATATGGGGTCTCACCCTAAACAAGGAAAAAGGCGTTGATTCAACAAATGAATATGATATTCGCATTCGGCAGGTCAAATAACCTTACTATGTGAAGTCTCGGCGGAATTTGAGCTTCGGACTCTTTAGTCATTGACGGTCGTCCCCAGCAGCTCTTGCGTACATCGAGTCGTTCGACTTTATGAGGACGCCAAATCTCGACATGCCCATAAATTTTGTTTCTTTCTTGCTAGGCCAAGGGAATCAACCTCTTGCAATAATTTGTAGACGAATCCGGATTACTGCGCATGGTCTAGGCTGCCAAAGGCTTCATTTTAGCTTGAAACCTCAAAAATTCTCAAATTTTACTAGTTTTCGAAAAATGCCTGAAACTTTTCTATTTCGTGTTCAAAATTCAGACAATTTGTGCTCACTTGTAGCTCACATTGCATTCTACATGATGCCAAAGTTTGAGTGCGCCATGTTGAATGAGAGTGAAGTTATGAAACAAGTTGCAAAACTTAGTGTTCAACCTAATAAATCAAACGTATCCTCATTTGCTTCCTTGTCCCAATTGAACGGTGAAATTAGAGCAAATTCTCACCAGTCTTTATAACTCGCTAAGGACCTTTCGAAAAGAAACTAGCTCCGGATAGTGAAGACTGCTTCGCGCCCGGAGTTCTCATGTAAACACTGTTGCCTACCGAAAGACTGGGACAGTCTTTCATTCATTTCTCACCATGTTATGTGCCTCAACAGGCGAACACTGGAGTTCGCGCGCGTCAAACCGCGCCGTCGCTAATTGCCGCACAAGCGACGTCGCCCAAGAGATGCTATTTGTAACTGCATACATGACTAGTTCTCAATGTGTGTGTAACGATATGGCACCAAATTTTGTGTGCGAACAGACAGAGGCTAGTGGAAACATAGTATGAAAAATTATGAAAAACTTATGTGAACGGAACGAGTAATTAGCATTTTTTCCGAGAATTTCGCAAAACTGGTAAATGAAAATGTGAATTTAAACGGCTCGTTTAAAAAGCGCAGATGAACGATATGGTATGAAACTTGGTAGGTACATGCACACGGGCTTGCAGGGCTTAACTGAGGAGTTTCACGCGCGCGAACTCCAGTGTTCGCCTGTTGAGGCACATAACATGTCAAGATAAGTAGCGAGCATGAACTACCAATTTTTTTCCAGGGCTCTGCCCCGGACCCGCAAAAACGATTTCCCCTTTGCTTTTTGGCCCCAGAACGATTTCCAGCTTGTCATTTGCCGACCTCGTGCCGGGCCCTGGGCGGAGGTTGCCACTCCAGGGGTGGGGCCTGCACAATGGGGGCGGGGTCAAAATTAAGATTATTTATGGTTCCCCATTCATCTACGAGCGATTTGAGAAGGAAAATAGTTTTTTGTAGAGGGTAACGGAGTGGGCGGAGTTTGCCAAAAGAGGGGCGGGGCCAACACGAAAAACTTCTGAGCCCAAATTGATTATGTGTACACAAATTGGAACCATTGTGCACATTAGAAGTGGTATTTAGGGTGTCGCGCACCATTGCGCGACATCGTCCACAGGGACAGACTACCTGTCGCCCACCATTGCGCGACACTGTCGTCAACGTGAAAAGATAAACCAAGCAAGTAAGTGAATAAAGTCACAGATCACATGACGAAGTAGAACGAAATGGGAAAAAATGAGGAAGTTTACTCAATTGAAAATTCACATAGCGTCAGTATCTGGCTAAAGTATTTGGCAATCGTTGTGTCTTGACGTATCGATGATCTACCGTGCTTTGCATCTTTGCAATATGGAAACGCAGCGACCGCTACCCGTTGCTCATCATTGTTTTCTCTTTTTTCAGATGGTCCTGTTTTTCTCGCTTTTAACCTCGGTCCACAAACAATCCAGCCTCAAATCTCCTCACTAGAAGTTTTTCTGCCGAGCTTCCACAATTCGCCCAGCCCCGTCCCTTGAAGCATAGCATACAGCCAAAGTGCTCGCAGTTTTCTCCAAGTTCTTCCAGAATCGTGAAATCGCTTTTAGGCAAATACCAGCCAAACCGTCATTCTCTCTTTACTCCTTTGAGTGTGGACAAGCGAAGGAAGTTCGAAGCGAACTTCAGGGAGTAATTCTAAAATGGCATTCAGGCAAGGGAATGGAGTTAGTGGGAGACCCCTCTTCCTTTCCCTCTCCTAAGCTATAAAGGAAACCAATGCATGTAGGGAAAGGCATCAATACTTTTTGAGTATGAAATAGATATGACTTACTTAAAGATAATTTTTACACATAACCGGTTTCGGGGCAAAGAACTAGACCGGATATGTGACTTCCTCGGTGCCCCCGGACTCATCGCCCTTTCATCAGTAGTTCCCGAGGAAGTGCAAAAGATTGAATGAGAGTGTATGCTTGTAAGAGGCCGTTTAATAACGATGAATATGTGGATATATGAATAAATGAAGAGTACAAAATGAATTATAGGAAGACCTGATTATGATAAAAGACAATTAGCTGGTTGTATATAGCCTGACTTGAGGAAAATTTCCCGCTCATTTTGAGTTCATATTTTGAATCGTTGCACAAGTATTATGTCAAGAGATGTCTTTATGTCACGTTATTTCATGGGTTATCAGGTGAACTCCAGAGTCCCCGTACTTCAAGCACCAATGGAAGATATACGGCTACATGGAATCCATATTTGCGCGATATGAAAGGTCTTTCACTAAAGGCTTGACTTAAAATTCTTAGGGTTATTCTTTCATTCCATCCATTGTCCTTACTAATGTTACAAAGCTGTAAGAGCCTAGTCCTGAAATCTGTATAGTCGGTACAATTCCTATAAATTCGGAGAATTTCTGATTTGAATGTATTGAAAATGATATACCTAGGTACATTGGATTTCCAATTTGGGTATCTCAAGACCTTAAAGTTATACGCATCCGTTTTATTATATAAACTTATCTTAACGCATTGGTCTACTGTACTAATGCTAAGGTCCAGAAAGTTCGTTTCGTGATCGTTTACATTCGTTTTCTCTATTATCAAGTCCTTGTGGTATATATCTTCCAAAGCTTGTTCAAAATCCTTAAGTTCATTAGATACGTATAGGATGTCATCAATGTACCTATATGTATTATTAAATGAATATTTGTGTCTATCAAAATTATTTGCCGCTAGCCTTTTAACATATTCATATTCCATAAAGGCCAACGTTAGGTCTGCTATTTGGGGGCTACATGATGCCCCTTGGGGTATGCCTCTCTCTTGTCTATAAATAGTGCCCGCAAAACTTAGATAGCTATTATCAAGAAGCATATTTATCATATATAGTATATCCTCCCTTTGAAAATATCTTCCTTTAGCTGAGGTTGCATTGCTATATGAAGCTGCCCTATTATTTACTTTAATATACTTGTAACCCCGCATACAAAGCTCGATGAGCTTCTTTAGACTTTTCTTTACAACGATATGTGGTAGGCTTGTAAAAAGGCTTGAGAAATCTGCTGAGAAAACTTTTCTGTTTCCATTCATGTAGCTAAGTTCTTTTACTACACTAGTACTATTACTAATTGCCCAACAATGTTTGATTTTACTTCTATGAAATATTACATTGCAGTAGTTCATAAAGTGTTTTCTTATGTGACCCAGTATAACAGTTAAAAGCTCTTTGTTAGAGGTTTCAGTGTACTATTTTTGGCCCCTGTTATATATCTGAACTTAATGGGTGTTTTATGCATTTTTGGGATTCCATAGATCCTAGGTATTTCCTTATAAGCAGGAAGACTAGTAATATTCAATCCATTCAAAATTCTTTTATGTATCTGTCTAACTTCATCCAGTTGAAGTTCTGTACTTGCATATGTCTAACATGAAATAATGTTCTAAGTTTGTTATAAATAAATGTGAACTACAAACTTTTAGAGTATTCTACAAGAGTTATGCTTTCAAGACAAAGAGGGTATACATCCCTAAAATTATCGCCAAGACACAGTGATGCGGTCGTACCACTATAGGTCCTATGCTTCCTTTAGTTCTTAATGCATAAGGTGTGGACAACAATTAATGATTGAGCACTTTACAAAATCAGTTATACAAGTAATGTTTAGCATGTCAGATAAATATAGGAAAGAACTATTAAATGAAAGTAAATATTGATCTTGGTACGCTGAAGAACATATTTGCATATGAACACCAATCTCTAATGCTGATAATATAATTTTAGTTGTATCACTACAGGCCTTATGCCCCTCTAGCTCTTAATACATAGAGGGTGGACAACTTATATGAGCAAAACATGCCAAATTGAGACTTGTGTTCACTGCACTAGTCTACCGTATGAAGTAGAAATTGTAATCAAATGTCAAATTTAGAGGTTTATCAAGGATGACTCCAAACTTTTAGACTATTGATACCGTTGTAACACTACAGGTATTATGCTTCCTCTAGCTCTTAATGCATAGAGGGTGTACAACGTTATCGATCATGTAAATTTTATGCGTTGAAACATGCTTATGACACGCTAAAGTTCTGCAAAAATTCTTCAAAGGATCATAAATGAAACTGGTATGCATTATAAGAAATTTCCAATTACTTGCAATTACTTGTGCTAAGTTGATCTTCCATCGGTTATGGCGGGAACTCTGGATCTCCCGCCCAAAATTATTAGCCATGGTTCACGTAAAAATAGCTTCAAAACTATATATAAACTATTTTGTCGTAACTGGAGTTAATTAATCATGTCCCCTATCGACTTGGCCGCCACTATGCGCTCTATATTGGATGGTGATCATAACCTAAGTACGGAGTTAACCACAGCTCTCGTATCCTTGGGTTCCGCAGTTGATCAAATAAAAACCCAGCAGGAGAACTCCGCTAAGGAGTTGGAATTAATAAGAAAAATGACCAGAACCAACTGGTTATTGGTAAGTTTTCAAACTATCACATGCTTATAACAATGTGGAAATGTTTGAGGTCATTAATCTTCCTCTTCCTTTCGGACAATCCAAACGCCAGTCCCTGCAACTGTTATTTGAGAAAATTGGCTACTCAAAACCACCATTTGATTCTGAGAGGGACCTTATTGCCGCAGATATACTATATGTGAGCAGAAACGGATCGTGTAATATGGCAGTGAGTTTATTATTTTAACTAACCAATGTACTTCTTTTTGGAAACCCTTTTACAGTTTTTCGTACCGCAACGTCATTACGATTTTTTGATGAGCGCAGAGTTTCAACGCAAGATTGTGGCCTACAATCAAAAGGTCTCCAGAGGTTCGTTAAAATTAATCAAAGTAGCGTAATGTAGTAGTAAGTAGATGAAGACCACGAAAAAGTAAGCCCTGATACGCTGTGTCATGGGTACTATAAGGCCTTATTGTTAGTTTCAACCGAAAGGAGAAGATATTTAGCGGAAGAATGTGTATAAAGCGATTTAATAAACATAGCAGCTTCCGAAACAAATATAAGTATAAAGAAAAGGCCGTAGGAGTAGTCCAAGTCAACAAGCCATCAATAATGACATATTGAAAATTATCTTGCACTGAACCTACTATGCAATCGTTCCTTTATTTTTCTCCTTCCCTTCTCTTCTTTTATTTTTTTCGCTATAGTCCACATGTGCCTTTGTATTACTCTGCAATGACAAGGTACATAATAGGATGTCAAAGTTCAGACGAAGTTCAGAGTTTAAATCAGTCGTATGTAACATAGCATGCAAAGCCATACGTACATATGTACGTGACGATGTTATGACATACTAGTAATGTATGCATAAATAAATAAATAATAAATACTACTACGTAAAAGGGTAACCTATTGATCATTACCACAAGACAATGTAAAGGTTAGGAATCTATTTAGATTTCCAAAATTCTTAAACCTAAAAGAGTATGCAACAGCTACGTAATGACACGCATCTTTAGGACCTTTTACCGTAATGGGAAAATGACAGAAAGAATAAATTTTGGCCTAGTATGAAAAGATGATAAGATAAACCAAGCAAGTAAGTGAATAAAGTCACAGATCACATGACGAAGTAGAACGAAATGGAAAAAAATGAGGAAGTTTACTCAATTGAAAATTCACTTAGCGTCAGTATCTGGCTAAAGTATTTGGCAATCGTTGTGTCTTGACGTATCGATGATCTACCGTGCTTCGCATCTTTGCAATATGGAAACGCAGCGACCGCTGCCCGTTGCTCATCATTGTTTTCTCTTTTTTCAAATGGTCCTGTTTTTCTCGCTTTTGACCTCGGTCCACAAACAATCCAGCCTCAAATCTCCTCACTAGAAGTTTTTCTGCCGAGCTTCCACAATTCGCCCAGCCCCGTCCCTTGAAGCATAGCATACCCAGCCGAAGTGCTCGCAGTTTTCTCCAAGTTCTTCCAGAATCGTGAAATCGCTTTTACGCAAATACCAGCCAAACCGTCATTCTCTCTTTACTCCTTTGAGTGTGGACAAGCGAAGTAAGTTCGAAGCGAACTTCAGGGAGTAATTCTAAAATGGCATTCAGGCAAGGGAATGGAGTTAGTGGGAGACCCCTCTTCCTTTCCCTCTCCTAAGCTATGTTCGGAAGTGGCGAAGATTCCCACAATGAATAAATCTAACAGGAAAACATGATTTGTAGAGCGTAATGGAATCCAGACAAGGAAACGAGAATAAGAAAGTCTGACTTAAGTCAAGGATAATTGCATATCCCATTGTGCTGAGCAGATTTGAAGCCCCTTGCTTCGAGAAGGCTTCGTGGTTCCCCACTTTTTGCCCTCTTTTCTTGAATCGCGCCTTAAGAATTTATGTTACTAGACTAGATAAGACGTAAAATCAATAACGCGAAGCAAGAAGTGGGTTTTTAGCGTTCATCACAACGTTCGCTTGCAACACAAATCTGGATTTCTTGACAAAATTCATGAGGGAAGAATAGGACAGATTTAGGTACTGAACACAATGACTCAGTCGTAACCAGGGTAAAGCGGGGGGTGGCACGCCACAGCAGGGGGGTCACGCCGGGTGGTTCGGTAAGGGGGGGGGGGTCGCATAGACGCAAGGTAAGAATGGTTTCCAAGGGAATATCCACATAAAGTAGAAAAATCGAAGCACGTTCGAAGACACCGATTTATCAGAATACCGTATGGTAATTTTTGACATGATCAACTTCATTTCAGCAGTAAGTCAGTAATCTCATCTTGCATTCAATACAAAGCACTGATCCTTCTTTCCCCACAAGAGCTATCGTAATTCAAATGAATACCAAATCGTGAAATTAGAAGCCAGCCAAAACCTTGTTTGTCACACTTTATAGTTTCAGTGGTTGCGCCTTCTGCAATATGATTCAGGCATCAGAAGAGGAATCGAGGCCAAACTTCTCATATGCGTAGGTACGAGGTTTGCGCTACCAAATGATGTGCGCAGCGTAACCCTAAACTCTTTCTTTGATAAAGTTAATGAAGTTGGCACGACCCCTGAAAACGTGTGGCGGCCACAGCTTTTGTGAAGGTGTGCCACACTCCAATAATTAGTTTTCAAAGCGCTCGAGCATCAAAGATTTTGGTAATGTAGGAACAGCTAGACCTTAATCTCTTGATAGTAGAGGTTTCAGCCATGCCGTTCTCCTCAGAAGAAGATCTGACTGTTTTTTCATCTTCTATACTTCGGAACAATCCTCAGAAAATTTTGGCTTACGATAGCATGCCAACTCTGCATACTTCACGCCCTTGCGCACACATCGTTGGATACGGCGGCAAGTTCGCCAATTTGAATGAGCTGCAGTTTGTTTTCAAATGCCTTTCTGTAGTAGATGTCTGCTGGAATCAATAATAATGTCTTTTTTTCTTTACCGTCACACTAGTAGCTGGGAGTCGCCTTATGTATCAAAATTACGGATTTAGGTGTTTCTTTAACGAACGAACGAATCACTGTGCATGATTTGCACCATTCAAGCGTAGCATATCCTGCAAAGCCTGAGCAGTGGGACCATACATCCAGTAGCATTAGCAGCAATGTACGCAATGTGAGCAACTTCCAATTTTGTTGTTCCCAAAGCCTCTTGGTTTGCTCGTCTTTTCATAATCTTTTGTGCTTATTGATTTCATCCTTTTTGATAGTTCACTGGTCATTGCTAGCAACATTGTTCGTTGTCAACGTTCTTTCCACTGTTTTTGCTCTCATGTCATTCTCGTGTACTCCTGCAAAAGATGAGTGTTTTGAGGAATTTTTGACCATACTGCATGTCGCATTGCTCGAAGTTTCCTGTTTGTCTCATTTGGATAAATTGCTCACCTTCAAGCTGTCTTTTGTTGGTTTGCAACAGTTTTTGGTGCAATTTTACACTGTGTGCTGTTAAACTTCTGACGCGGTATCCCGTTCAGTACGATGTCTATTTCCGGCTGCCGGTCAGGAGGTACGATCGGCGCGAATTTCTCGAGCGACCCGCAACGCACTTCAATCTATATGGCAGCAGCACTCCTGGTGCAATGTTACTTATGTCATCGAGTCATGTATCTGCCCCTCCCCACCCCCTGTTTTTGCCACCGGCAATCTCTCACAGCGGAGAGTTTTGTGGGTCCCCGAGATTTGAACGCGCGACAGGCGGCCGTCGCGCGCGGCGTACCTCTGACGTGCAGAATGTTTTAGCTATGGGGTTGTATTTGGTTGCGGTGTGGGGGGGGGGGCTTGTATTGGCTGCGGTGTGCCACACCCTTTGCTTGGCTCTGATCGTAACTCGTGACTCTTGAATTTTAAGTAACAGGTCCTTTGCCCGAACTCGCGTTGGGAAGGAAAATGTTTGAGTGGACGGAATTGAAAAGATGAGCATTCAATAGCGGAAGAAGGTGCTTACCGAAACTGCGGTGCTTGCAAGCCTGGATGAGAGCGCAAGGAAAGAAAGAAGTCTTTCAAATTCAAACACAAATTAAACAACTATCAAATAAAATAAAATACAATCTTAACACAATTACATTAAAATGTTGTGACTCTGGGATATTTTCATGCAGCTGTGTCTAAGACGTTGAATCAATCAGCCCTTGAAATCATAGAAATCAAATTTTGGAATTATTCTATGCATCTCCGTTGCGAATGAGTAAGGGAGAAATGAGTAAGGCAAGTGCTTTCTAGGCCGCTAAAAAACACAACCATTCTAGACATGAATCTTAAGGTAACTTTTGATCATGCTGATGTGATAGCAGAAGAGGTATTGCAGCGCCGGGAGATCTTGGGAGAACACAAACCTCAGACTCCCTAACTTAAATGCATGCAGGCTAGCGGCCTGGAAAGAAGTCCATCAAGTTGTCTTCGTCAAATGCAAGAAGGATCTTTCTGTAAAACAAATAAAGCGCATTTGGCGCAATAAAAAAGCTTACGTACTTTAGCTGTCGTTCTTTTGCTTAAGGAAAAGAGGTCAGCTCCTCGTATCTCTCAAACAAACAAATATTCATGAATATGTTTTATTATAGGTCGGGCACCAATGGGGGGGGGGAGAGGTTGATCTAGATTTGGAGCGAATCAGCAAGGATTTTCCCCTCATGACCGAAAATGATGTTGAGATTGCTAAAGCCCTTGGCAAAGAAGCCAGTTTTTGTAGACTAAGAACTGCCGAAACCGGAGTTTGTGGAAGTCACATGTCTTAGTAAAGTTGGAAAATGACGACTAATAGCAACTTCTAGGCAAATGAACCATCTACTTCGCGTCCACCGTCGGCAGTGGAAGACGACACTTGTAGAGCTGAACCGCTGCGCCAATTGTCTACAGTGCGTCTACATTGCCGCGATGATTCCTATTGTAAAAAAGTCGTATTCAACAGCAGTTTAATGAAAATAGAGAAATGCTTCGTGTAAGTAGATGCAATTCTCATGAAAATTCACCAACTGTTTTGTTGTAGTTCCAACGTTTGGTACTGGAAAAACAATATGCGATATGTACAAAAATGGATGCACTTTTGGATAAGATTTCAATCAGACTTGAAATCGTTGGAAATGGCCACGGTCGACATGTCGGGGATCATTATTTAAGTGTAACTTTTTTTAGGCGGACATCACAGCGTTGAGGACTCAATTATTTGTTGATAAGTCGCTTCTGTTAGGATTAGGATTCTGTTAATTTCATACGCTAGAGTTTGAGTTGTTAGTCTGATTTTTCTCTTATTTGTTGGTTTTCTTCTGATGACGTCACATCTGCGTATTTGTTTTCGCATTTCTGTATACTTATACTGTTGTTTGAATCTCATCCAATAGTTGTCACATAAAATGTTGTTTGTGATCAGTTCAGTCTTGCACTATTCAAACAGATATACGCTGCAAACATTTACATATATATATAATAATATAAGGACTATAACAATATAACTATAACAATATCAACAGCAGTTACAATAACAAAAAAAAACATGTGTTATGCACTTTTTACAATCAGATGAGTAGTCGTATCAGCTCTTGTCTGATATTGGCCACCCCAGACGGGGGATGACCCATGCGCGCAATTCTTCTGCCGACATGTCGCACCAGGCGACATCTCATCGAAATCATAATATTATGCAAAACTGCGCAAGCCATTATGATTTGCGCCGCTTTTTGGGCGCACTCGCATTTTCGTTTGCAGCATTTTGAAGCAGCCCTTCCACTTCCCGAACACACATTCAGCAACTACCCGCATTTTACTGTAGGTAGTGTTGAACCTGCGTTGAGCTCGGTCTTAGGGGTTTCTGTAAGGGATCAGAATTTCGTTGGAATTTATGAGCCCTGAGTCTCCGATCAAGCAGAAGCCCTCCGGAACAGCTCCTCCAGCAAATGCGTCAAGCGGCTATAACTGTACACGGTAGAACTGCGAACAGAATCAGGATACTTGCTTTGATGTACATAAATCTACTATGAGCGTCAACAACAGCCAGAACATTGATGGCGCAAAATCCTTTGCGACAGTAGTATTCCCACCTTAAGTGAGCAGGTCTCAGGACGGGGATCAGTGTGCCATCAATGGCGCCGACGACATTCGAGAATGCTCTCAGTTGTGCGAAGCCATCAGCCTTCCTTCGGCAGTAGTGCATGTCGTCCAGGTGGCACGGTGTGGCACGGCAAAAACTTCTTCACTGCTGCCGGATGATTGAGCGCCCTGATCACCTCTTTCACGGCGTTGGAGACTGTCTTCTGGCAGACACCGAGGGTATCTGCTAAGACGGTTGATGGCGAGATAACGCAACGCGATGATAATCTAAAATATGCTGCGACATGAAATATTTTGGCACTCTCATTAGAACTCGACATGAAATACTTGACCTTCAAAAAGTTGAAGTGGAGAGGTGGGAGAGAATACCAGTTGCTATTCCAGGACTGACCTTGTTCTCGACGCAACGCTCCAATTCTCAAACTGCTCGTGGGTCATGAGAGGAGCCAGAACGCTGCACGGGCAACGCAGATGTACTTTGCTCATAAGATATTTCCTCGTAATCAATCGCTGATTAAAGTGAAACACTCTCATGGGGTGCACTCGTCGATACTCAATATTCCTCTGTCTCGCCGCAGACACGATGGCTGGGATCATGAGAACAGGAAGCATTTCTGAAGGAACGTTTTTAGACAAAAAATTTATTAACGCTCAAAGTTTGCAAAAAATCGATAGAGACTCAAAGGTAATTGTTCTTGAAAACTAATGTTGTATTCGTGCGCAGCACCCTCACTTGCCTACTTATACCAAACCATACCCCTGCGAGGGCACAAACTTACGTCAACGGTTTAGCCTGACCCCTATTGGGACACACTGTTTTGTGAAGACGGCTCTGCTCCTCTCAACGTTGATGAAGGAAAAAACTTGGTAGATAAGATGAATAGCAATGAAACTACAAATAGTGAATGGCCCACGCTTTCATCTCCACCTGCGATAAATGGTTGCAAGGAGACGCCTAAGATTTTTATGACGAGATTGACAAACTTCAGAATTCCGACTGTTATTGTTATTATTTATCTGTACCATACTAAACGTATGTGAATGTCTGTTTGTCATGTGTCTGCGTTTCTGTGCGCATGTTCCCAACAGAGTTGCACCTCTGAACCAATGCAGACCAAATTTTTCACACAATTGGGGCCGAGCTGGTCTCGTAGACTGCATTCTTCGTCGATATCGATTTATCGTTTTGCAACGTCGAGCTATAGGGGTTGGGAATTGGTATAAGTAGGTAAGTGAGGGTGCTGATCACGAATACAACATTAGTTTTCAAGAACAATTACCTTTAAGTCTCTATCGATTTTTTGCAAACTTTGAGCTACAGGTGTAAGAGTTGACATGGGGGTAAGCAAGCATGCTTGTTAGAATTATCAACTTACATATGTACATAAACACAATATTTGCAATCAGAGTGATCTGTAACCATTCGCGTCGAAATTTGGCCAAAACATGCGATCTTGAGATCTCGAACGATTTTCATGAGGACGTGAGTCCGTAAGCTCACAGTTCCGCAATCAATACAGATAAGAGTCTAGTAAGAATGCTCTGACAGCACTGTATCTGGTGGTTTCAAATTACAAAAAGGAGCCGGTAAGTTGTCCAATAAATACGCGAAAAGGCAGACAAATTTAGGAATTTGCGTAGTATCGCAGCATTTCCCTCAGCATAACCTTGCTAAAAGAACTTACGCTGCACAAAGAGCACTATTTTCGTGATCAGCTAATCCGAAAACCTCTATAGGGGAAGATTCCTGTCAATTCAAGATCATCAATATTTTAGCAATAACCCGTCGGCGAGTCCAGAGCCTAGAACGAAAAAAACCAAAGAGCCCAAACTTCTTGGAAAACTTGTGCATAAAGCTTATCTAGCTGCTGACTTCGAAAAACACATCAGCTTTGCAAATTAGAGTCTTACTGTGTGGTTACGGTAGCTCAAATTTGAGAGACGTCGATTTTTTCGCAATTCACTGGCCTATCTCTTTCTACCAAAAGGGATCCTCCGCTATTCGCTGGCGCCTGATACTCTACGGGAACAGCTCTACCGAACTGTTTTACCTAAACTTACCATGTGTTCTTCGATGAGTTACACCACTACGAAAACGTGTCCTCACACAAAAATCGAGCAGGCGGAAAATGAAAGTAAAAAGTGTAGTAAATCAGAAGATTCATCTTGACGAGCTGAACATCAAGCTTTCTTCGGATTTTATTTTATGCAATCTGGAGAAATTTATGAAGAAAAAACGAAATAAACGCGGATCGTCAGTTTTTACGTTTCCGTCGAATAATTAGTATGGGTAGGCATAGTTTGAGAGCATATTATGCACGGATATATCTCTGCAATATGCTTCACAGAACGTTAACTCTGAAATCAGCACCCTGAGTAACATTCGAGCGAGAAAAATGTGAAAATGACTACCTACCAGTACACCTAACCTCACGACTAGGCACATCCATATACCGGGAGATGCGCCTCGCCGAGCTGAGTTGAATGGTACTCTTAAATATATTAAGGTGATCATTAGAAAATGGGACACCTAGAGAATAAATGTAGATTTCTCAAAAAAGAAAAATGACTAAACTTCCCAATTTTGATAGATGTTAGAATAGATTATTCTCTTTCAGAAAATACCTAAATAAGGTCATTTACATAACTAATAATTTTTGTAGTGACTGAAATGAAAGTTAGTCACTTTGACAAATTATAAACTTTGGGCAGTATCTGCGCAGTGAAACATGTGAGACCACCGTTTAAAGTACCACTGCTGGAGTGGGTGGTGGGACAGTCACTAAATCCGCGACAGCTTGATGGCCTCAACCATACCTTCGATAGTGCAGAGACAGGCTCTCAAAAGTGAAGGTTGTTTGAGCCCTCGCCAGCTTTGAAAAGTGATGGTTGTTTTTGATGAAGCTCTGTTTGCTGACCATTTGCAGAAGAGGTGGTTTTTATTCATTCACTTGTCAGAGTCGCAGGTAGCGGTGGAAAGAACAAGTAAGTTGAAAAATCAGTGGAGCACTTGCTCATGAATCCAAATAATCTTTGCACCCTTGATGCGGACTGCGTGCATTCGCCCAAGTGTTGGCTGCATAAAAATTGTGTGCGGCGTCAAAAGTGTTCGTTCTTTGGCGAAACACTTTCTTTGAAAGCGTTTGCGTGCATTTGTTGGCAGCAATGATGAATGGTTCGTTCTTTGATTCCGTAAAAACAGTGGCGCTATGAATATGCAATATGTGGCGGCATGCAAACCGCCTTTCACCGAAATGTGGCTATACGATATAGAGTGCTGCCATCTTCAACTGCTTAGATCGTTCTTGTCACGTTGTTTTCCACATTTTCGTGTTGTTCATTTGCGTTTCTAGTTTTATGTTGCTTTAAGCTCTTCTTCTTTTAAGGTATAACGTGCGGTTGCACTTTCAAGCATTACTTTTGGTGTTTGGCTGACTATCTATAGTAAAGGAGCCTTCGAGCGTATGCCTTTTGGTTGTCTATTGTAAAACGGATTTTCGATTGTGTCGCCTCGTAAAAGCGCCAACTGCCTTTCTGTCCACTGGTCAGTACCATTATTTGGGGCGTTTAATCTGGGGAAGATGTCTAAACTTATTCTTTATATCGTATATTGCTCAGTTCAAAAAAAAAATCAGTAACATGAGATACTAGAGAAACTACGCACACATGGCTTTTAATGACTACCGTTTTTATCACTTTAAGTAATCCACCTGAGGTGACTGATGCTATTTTCTGTTTCAGAAAAAAATGCCAGTCGACAACAGGAGATTCCATGAGGAGAATTTTTGGCGTAGATGTGTAACAACATGTATTCTTCTTATGGTCGGAGGTCTTGATGTTAATGGCAAACAAATATCGTCGTCATACGCATCCAATGCCAAACGTGTGTAAACCGTATTTTTCCGAAATCTCCACGCTTTATCTCGGCACCAACTCGCAAGACCATGATGACGAACTCGATGAATTTGTAGAGATAGCTTTCCCGCGGGAGCATTGCAAGGATAAAGAAATGAGTATACATAAGTTTAACCTTATGATCATTGACACAAGACCAAGAACATCGGAGCGACCCGCACTATTGTTTTTCGCTTCTCTATATCATAAACGCATGAGGAAGGATACAAGCTTTTTCGTCATTGGAAACCAGACTGACGCATCCAAAGAATTACATCCGCCTTTTGATATGATATATGGAGAGACCACCCAAGACAGTTCAGCACAAGGTATCTCCTTTCGGGCTCTACACAGAACACGCGGTATAGCGCCGGTGCCTTCCGAGGAAGAAAACTCGCATTACCCAGTAGTGTTTCTCATATACGAGAGGTGCACTACCAGTACTGTTTGCAAGGAAATAAAGGAAGGTATGAGCGAATGCTCTTACTTGCAGCAGCATTCCGCAAGAAAGATGGAGAGGAAAAGGGGGGACTACATTGCGTATGTGACCAATATGCAATTGGTTGATTTGATATTTGAGCACCTAGTTGACGTGGTGGTTGTGAGTAGGAATTTGTCGATTACAAGAGGTACACCATTTGTACAGCGACTGTCACGAAAGCTGAACGACCACGATATCAAATTGAATATGATAGCCATTTCTGTACAAGAGACAACAAGAGATATTGTAAAAGGAGCATCGCTATCGTTTTGCCCTCCAAGACATGACGAACTGGATTATCGGGCTACTCACACGTCGAGTTTCTGGAAGCTAAGCGAACACACACCTGGACTTGAGAACAAATGTGAATCACAGTACTTACGCAGATTCGATGAAGACGTTGAATACAATTCTCAGTTGGCAGTTTATCGTTACCCAGAAGGACAGCAGCCGCGAGTAATCAAAACCGAAGACCGCCCCTCGACGCGCACAAGATCGGAAGATTTCGATGCTCCTACCAATGAAGAGACGCTCTTGCAGGTTGAAAAATGCGTGGAAGGTGAATTACAGCAAGCAGAGCAGTGCGAAGCTGTATTACAAAAACCGCCGTTCACACATGCAGATCTTCAGTCGATGGCCACAAAGGTCAATTACCTCTACCAAGAAGCCTTAAGTAGGGAAAAAGTAAACCACGAAGTAGCGCTCAAGAATGCTCGTGATGCAATGGAACGTTATGAGGAGAGCACAAGGAAAAATGCTTTTCGCCGGGAAATGAGACTCATCTTAGACACGGGCGATTTCGATAGTGATACGATGAAGGAAGTTCCAAAATTAGCGAGCAAGGAATTCTCATATTACATGCCAGTTTTTGGGCAAGAATGGCGTCACCAAAAAAGGGGTGTTAACATTCGTTGTGAGCCTTGCTTTGAGGCACTGAAGGAACGACCTGATGTGGCAAAGTCCCCTTTAGCAAAAGAAGAAGGAATCCCTATCAAAAAGGATGTGATCAAGACTTTGAGGAATCACCACAGAGGGTACACGACACACATAAATGCGGTGAAATCATATGAACAAAAGATAGAAAAAAGAATATCTGATTATCTGGCCACTGTGGACACGTCGCCCAACGATCCTTTGTCAGCTACTGCAAGGCTTTTTTCACTTGCCTACGCAGCTGTAAAAATGTACCTTCCACCATTCAAATTCCCCGATCTGTGCCAAGCCGTGAAAGGTCTCGGAGTAGAACTTGGAACAAAACACTTGACGCAAGACGGATATGTAAATATGGCAAGAGTGATAAGTGAAGACATGAAAGGACGACTAATAAGATACATACAAAAGAATCAGTCTCCATTTTCACTTCTCATTGACGGATCCACTGATATTGGCGGAAAGCAGATATTACTAGTTTTCATACGATTCCCTGACGCTGTAAGTCTGGCTCCGAATACTCAACTACTCGAGGCTATAGAGATAAATGAAGCTGAAACCGGATTAAATCTATTCAATGCCGTTTATGATATTTTCGCTAGAAATCACCTTATCAAGGAACTGGTTTGGAACTTGATAGCTGTCGCAACTGATGGAGCAAAAAACATGATCGCTGAAGGAGGTTTACAAGGTAGACTCAATGCAAACATCTCTCAGTCACGGAAAAATGACTTGATGATATACGGGGCAACAAATGAGGAGCTATCGAAGGTTTCGGAGAAGCCAATCGTGTGGATACATTGTCTTGCGCACAAAGTTGAGTTAGCTCTTGCCGAAGCATTGAAAGGAGAAGAAACTTCTCAGTCACACAAATGGCGTATTTTTGCCACTAATTTTCTCAACAAACTTCACTCATTTTTTGGGTCAGTTGCTACGAAAAGACGAAGAAAATTAGAAAGAGCGTGCAGATCATTAGAAAACTGCAGATTGCTAAAATTGAAAGAAATCATAGAAATACGTTGGGCATCTTCAGAAAAAGGTAGGCATATTGCCTTTTCAAACTTCAAAAGAGCTGTCAAGATAACTTTTCAGATGCTATTCACAACTTCTTAAAAATGTACAAATCTTTGTGGCTTGCACTGCATGACATATCGCAAAGTCATGATGAGTTTGACAAACAAACAAGAACCAGGGCAGCTGCATTTCTTTCTGTATTGAAATCCATAAAATTGTATAGATATCTGTTGTTCCAATTGGACCTACTTAGTATTATCGGTGACTTATCTAAAAAAGCGCAGGTAGTACATTTGCAAGAAATCTCTTATTCAGATCATCTTGATCACGTATTCAGGACCAGTCTTCGACAATATGGGCTACGGAAACCGAAGTTTCTAAAACCACATCTGTACTGAACAATTTCGCTGACAAACCGTGGGAGTCACAAGTTTCATCAGACTTTCAAAACATTGTGTTGTGCAAGTTGGCGCTCGGCGGGGGAGGCTTTCATTTTAATGCCCGCGACGATGAAAAATGCAGAAACTGGTGAGGTATTTTTGATAGCAGTGTATTATAAGAATGTTATTGCTCTGTAGGTTTTGGACTGGATGGGAAGGCGATTTGAATAAAGAGGCAGTGATCTTCAGGCTTGGAGACAGCAAGCACATCTTCCAGTTTAGCATAGAAGTTCCAGAAGGAGTTGACATAGATGCAAGACTGATGGAATGGGAACACCGCTCTTCCAGGGAAATCTCCGAGCTTTTAATCAGTACACGACATAACCTCGCTCAATACATCACGAGAGGTAGCTCGCAGCATGTCAATTTCAATGCTGAAGAGGCACGGTCGATGATTAGCGACCTGGAGGTTCTGGAGGAGTTTAAAAAAGCACAACTGAAGCAGCTGGATATGTTTACCAGACAGACCTTAACATCAGCGGTTGCAGAGACTCTCAGAAAAAGGTTAACATATTCTGCAGACTCTATCTTGTACAAGTTGAATGCTCTCTCGTTAAAAAACATTATCGAACAAGAAACGGACGCGGATGGTCGTAGAAGAGCCACTTCAAAATTTTTTGGGTATCACGATGACGAGCTAGATTTGTATGTAAGACGGCTACATAAAGAACTTGTGGCCTTGCAGTCAACTGAAGTTCTTCACGACATCACTTTGGCTCAGGAAAGATCTGAATACTTTCTACCGCTTTTGCGAAAGCTCATGCTTACCACACCTCCAAAGCTGACAAAATGTGAAAAGTTGTTGGAACTTTTATCAAAAATAACTGCAATTCCCACAAATACTGCCGCTGTCGAGAGAGGTTTTTCCATATACAACCTAATAAAAGAAGCCAGAAGATCAGCAACTTCAGCGCTGAACATGGACGCTTACCTGAGGTTTGAACGTTATCGCTCTTCGACGTAATTGTAGCGGGCGAAGTCTGTATACTACCTTATATGATGCGGGTAGAGGACTATATGTCGCCGAAAAAGGGCGGTCCTCGCGGTCATTTGCGACAAATACGCATCCTTTTACATGCGCGGACATGCGTTCCTGCAGGGAATCCGCGCGGGACTCTTCCAAATTCGGCGACATATAGTCCTCCACCCATATGATGCGGGCTGATTGAGCTTGCCAAACATTTGTACATCTTTGTCCCCGCGCATAAATAAGATATTTCTTGCTACCAAAACTGCGCTCTCTCAAAGGTGGAACGTTTAGGCTCCCGCTATCATGCCTATACTTATAATTAAGTTCATTCAGAATAGTTCTCAACGGACCGCAAGATCCAACACCTTACGAGTTTGACTACTTCACAAAGCTCTGGAAAAGCATGGGACACCAGCTTGCTGACGACATCGCAGAGACTAGAGGCCCAAGCTCAGCGCAAAAAGCGAGCGATGAGCGCAAGAAGCGACTGGAGAATATATTTTCTGAGAAAGTGTTTCTTTCGCGGTTGTATTTCTCTGAACCTTAAACAGATCATTCTATAATAAAGAATGGCAAGGGCTTGCACTTACATGTTGACAAGTTGCGGAATGAGGCGAGTGATTGCCGAGGGTGCGGAGGGTACAAATTTGTCAACAAGGCTAGCATGTTTTCGGGGTGAGCATCGTCTCTCCTCGAAGAGATGTTTTCGAAAGGGGTGCGGTTACTAAGGGCCGCATGCACTAACCTCCCCGCGGGGGGGGGGATCGCAGCTTAAAAGAAAGCTTTATATTTCGAAACTCCAGATACCTGGATTTCACGCTGTGTACCTATCCGTAAGTATTCCTACTACCCTTCACTATGAACATGTTGAAGAGGAGCGAGAAGCTGTACGAACCGCTTTTTCCAGCTTTTGTATGATCCCTGATGATCCCCGGCGCTTTTCTTTGAAGCCATTTTTCTTTTTCCGAAGTTAACGAAAAACCTCCAAAGTTGTGCAGATTATCCAACCCGACAGTGCTAAGCATGTTCGTGATAAGAACAAATGATGTTTTGAAGTCATGAAATTTTCGATGATCCACAGGTCGAAATTTGAGGTTTACCGACTGTTAATGAAGATTATGAGAAAATTTGGTCTCAAAAGGTTCATAGGAGTGATCGATTTATCATTTTGATTTTGACCAGAATTCGCAAGATATTGTGATAAAATAGCGCGAACGTGTCTAATCATGATGTGATTTTCATCATAACTTCGCAAAATCTTAGCTTTAGTGCTCTTTGAAAAAGTCACCTCGTAAAAGGCACGTGAGGGAAAACTTCATTTTATGGACGGTTTTTTTTTTCAAGATGGGATTTTGATGAGAGGACATAATTAGGTTACCTTTTTTTTCCCAAAATCTCGTATGGTTGTGACTTTCAAGAAAGCTTAATATCTATAATTTTTCGTTTTTGCGAGACTCCTCAAAGTGAGCCCTTACCTCCCAGAAAAGGTATATGTGGAGATATTTGTTGTCACAGCCAGACAGCTAACAGTGTGTTTGCCTTTACCAAATTGTCAGCGGCCCTTAGGGTCGCTAGTACTACAAAAATCCGCCGTCCGTTTTTTTTCATTTTTTGAAGATAGTAATTTGATATCCTTGGCGAATGAACACTATACAGCTAGCTAGTCTATGACTTCATTTTCATTATAAACAAAATTAAGGCAATAAATGAGATCCAGATAGAGATCCAAACATTGAATATTTCTTCTTTAGCTTCTTCAAGCAAGTAAATCCATGGGCACGGCCTCGGGCTTGTGTTTCTTCAATTTGTCGAAAACCGATCGCACAAATGGGTGTAAGTAGTCGAAGAACACAAAACAGAATCCACCAGCGATGAAACCGATAGTGAATGCTGGCCACCTGGAAAAAAAAGTATTGAGAAAATAGTAGGAAGAGAATAATAGTTGAATCAAAAGGCTACTTACTGCATGACGAAGGCGCAGAAGCAGTATTGGTTGAGCGGGCGCGAACGCGACGCGCGCGTATTTTCAACGTTGTAAATCCTACGCCTCATGCACTCTGCTCTAATAAAGCCGCGTTCGCGCCCAAAGACATTGCGTCCTCGTCATGCAGCAGCCTATACATATGGCTGCTGAAGGCGCGCCCCATGTCCTATAAACAGTCTCTATACAGTCCGCGTCGATCACTTGCTCCCTTTTCCGTGGACGCGATAAGCTTCGCGCGCGTACTTGGGCTTTCAAATAAGCCTCATCTGCCTCGTGAAGCTGAGTTGAATGGTCCCCTTAAAGGCAGCGTCCAGGCACATCTGGCCCTATGGGGATTTTATGTGGAAAGTACTTTTGGGGCCCTAACTGAAGCACTGCTCAAGCGGCAGCACAGGTAGTGCTTTAACGGCTGGGATATTCCCCTCGAAACTGGACCCCGCGATCGTATTCGCATGGATGACAGTTCCGCGCCAGGACACGCTTTACGCCATGAATCCAAGCGAATTACGATCGCGGGGTCCAGTTTCGAGGGGAATATCTCAGCCGTTAGAGCACTACATGATCTACCGGTTGGGCAGTGGGTTAGTCAGGCCCCAAAATTACCATCCACGTGAGATCCCCATGTGTCCAGCCTTACCTGGACGCTGCCTTTACCATCGCTTGCATTCTAGACCGACATATGGCGATGCGATGTGAGTTCTGGTAAGCTCCCGCGGTTATTTTTGCAAACTTTGAGTAATACTTGTGCAAATTCGCATGGAGAAAGTAATGTAGAAAAAGAGAGGGTGTGTGAATCTTGAGAAATTCGGGATATATTTGAAGCGCAGGAGAAACGCAATCGAATCAGGTACAGTAATCATGGACTCATTTAGCCGTATAAGAGAAGGAACGAAACAGCTTTTGTCTCCTGTCTCGTGCTTTCCTTCATTATTTGAAATCAAAAACGACGCCCTTTCTTTTACTTTTCGGCAGTATTTCAGTATAAAGGATAGCATTTGCACTAGAATCCTTCAAGAGATGGATTCCGATATTCAATTACATAACCTCTCTTGGCACTCGAAATGTCAGCATATATAAATTTCAGATCAAAAATCATATAAAATTGAATAGGACTGATCAAATTATGGAATTAGCTTGGGGATCATGGAGAATTTTCACATTTTGAAGCTCGGCAAAGTATGTACCTAGATCACATCAAAATCGAAAAAATTGTCAAGAAATTCTTGCCATTGGTTCGAGGAAGTTTGAGCAATTTGCTTCGACAATTAGCATCCTAGCAGCTGGGTATGAAGAAAAAGCCTGATATTTGGACATTGTCAGTGAAGCGAACGAAATTTTAAAGACCTAAGTTGCTTTCAGAAAATTTATTTGAAGGGCGGTGAAAGCGGAGGGAGCAGACACCGCTTCAGGCCTCGGACAGAGTTCACGCGATTTGATCGTCGCGATTCAATCGCCGCGATTTCCATTCAGTTTCATTTTACATTCAAAAATTTCGGGCTGGAAAAGTATCACAACCAAAATGCAAGCTGGTCTGCATGCAATGAACTCGTAACAGTTGTCTTGTCGCGATTCAGTCGGACGATTGAATCGCGTCAACTCTGCCCAGAGCTTAGTACACTGAAACAAAGATTGTAATAGGGGACGGTGAGATTTCAAAAGATATACGCAGTATGAACAAAAAATCAATTGAAAAATGCTAAAAAGTTATTGCCCAACCTAAATAAATTGTGCACGACACTGCTTCCTTTTCTCCACCGGTCTTCAGTCAATTTGATATTGATGTAAAGTCTTCAAATTAGCAGCTCATAAGGCGGTCTATATTTAGTTCGATAACCTTTAAAAATGGTGTGTTTGGCTGAGCAGTAAGAGCACAACCTAGGATTTAACTCAAACAAATAAAGAAGAATGAGCTTTTTGTGATATAGTAGTTGCAAGCAAGAAATTTTTGAGCTTGCAACTACATAAGCCGTTCTGCTCCGGAATTCTCACGCAGATTTCGCTACCCATGGTAATCATGGGAAGAAGTATTGGCCACCGGCAATTAAGAGACATGCGCAAAAGATCTTTGAAAACTGAAACTTCTTACATGCATCTGTGAAAAAGTTTTTGATATAGTTACTTTGCAGCTGCTTCTTTTCTAAGTCTGTCTTGTGACCATTGAACTGACAAGAGACTATTATCGCCAACACTGCAAATTTTTAGGTTGTGTTCTAAGTTAAAAAAAAACTCGAATTTTCGGCTTATGACCAAGAGAACCTAATCTCCTCGCCTGTAAAACAGTGACCTTTGTTGAACATAACTTAGTGTGAGAATAGAATCTTACTATCAGACTGCATTAATGCTATTCTTTTCCTTAGTAATGGCAAATTATACGTTGAGTTGGCTGAAGTTCTGTTTTTCAGCATCTTCATAAAATGACTAGTCAGCTGCATCAAATGCGTACTTTCAACTTCTCAAAATCCAGCACAGAAAATAGAACTAATTATGATAGCACAGACTAGAAGAATGCTGATTTCTCCTGAATATCCTCAAGCTTCATCCTGCTCAAAGCTCGTTAGCGTTCCTCTCAATCGCATACAATTACCTATGCCATTCTATGGGACATCATAAAATGAGCTGTGATCCTAGTAAAAAACTGCTTCTAGTAAAACTGCTAGTATAGGCCGTCCGCGCCGTGCTCGGAAAGCAACGCAGTTGCGTCCGTTGGGATAGTTCATAACTGGAAGAGGCGCAGAGAAAACAGGAGGTGAGAGTGCGTGAGTATAGGGGAATGTCGCGCAATACACATCTTACGCACTCTCCGCGCCCTGCGCGGACGGCCTATACAAATAAAGAAATACTAAAAACAAAAAAAAACAAGGAAAAAACCGAAAATCGATGAATGGTAAAAAAACGACTCACCATCCTTGCGACTGCAACGCAGTTTTGATGGCGTTGACGTCCCCGGCGCTTAGAACACAATCGACGTCCATCTGAAAATAAAAAGATTAGTGAAACAAAAGAAAATTAAAAAAAAACAACAAAAATGAGGGAAAGACGCCAAAACAACGTTGAAATCTTGGATTTGGCGGCGTTCCATTTGCCGTTTTCGCTGCGGGACTCAAGATGCAAAACCCGGGGGAAACGAAGCTAAGATAGAACCCTTTTTCACGCCTATTCTGGGGCATAACAAAAAACTAACATTGTTATTGTGAAAAGGAAGAAATGTACAGAAGAAAACGAAAAGTTGTTGTTTTCATTGAGACTGTTTACATGTCAAAACTAACCTGCTTTTTTTTGGTGCGTCCTTTAAATTTTTACCCCCGTACCGTCCTTCTTGTCCCCCGCGACGTTGTCTGGATTCTTCCGCTCATCATTCTGAGCAAGCAACGTCCAAGCTGGAGAAAATTCGTTGCGAAACCACTGAAAAAGAACAAGGTAAAGAAAAACGCATTTTTTGGCAATTTTCACAAAAAAAACCCGGCATAAGCAAAGAAATAAGCTCGGCGACGTTGTCTACAATATAGACAGAAACAAGACCTATCGACTACAAAAAAAAACTGCGTGAAAAGAGTTAAACTAGAAGAAAAACAAGAGATTTTCCAAAACAAGGTTTTTGCCGGATTTCTCGTTTAAATCATAAAAAGAAGTCTTGCGACGTTGTCAGCGAGAATATAGAGATCAAGAGCTTCAAAATGATATATAGCTTGCTAAAATTGGGTTCGAAACAGCGAAGAAAAGGGTACCAGAGCCAAATGCCCCGCGCCCCGCGTTTGGGGTAGCGAGGTAGCGCGCAGCGCGCGGAGACGCAGACGAGCAGCGGAGCCAGACCAGAGCCGGCGGGGCATTTGGCTCTGGTCTTTGATCTCCGCGGGGTCATAACGAAACCCTATGATATTATATATCGTTGTGATCCTCATGACACGGCCAGGAGCACTGACAACGTCGCGGGTCTTGAAAATCACTCCATAACGAGATAGACCAGCATTTATGTGGCGACCTTTTGCGCAAGATTTGAACGCAGTTTCTCGTTTTTATTGAGCTCCAGCGGCTTTCATGAACCTCCAACGCTCAATCGCAGTCTAGAGGAAGGTTAATTAATAAGTTTTATCCTAATTTCTAGCTGAGTTTTTGAAGAAAAACCTTGTTTTCAGCAAAAAAAAGGCCATAAGACTGCAATCCTTCGATTTTTTGAGCTTTTTTCGGATGTCACTACTATATTTGCCTCATTCACATTCATCCTTACATAGTTAGTCATTACTTATGTCATAATATCCGGGGCTTCGCCCCGGATGACGTCTGTACTCCCCTCCAGGTGAAGGTTGTGTCCTCTCAAGACACTCAAAGTGAAGGTTACCAGAGTACATGGCTCTATGTATCGAAGGTATGGCCTCAACATTCAAAGTCAGGAGATATAGCGATTAGCAGCTTCGAAAACAAAGATACGCTTTATTCAATTCTTTGCAGGTGAACGCAAGTTCTATAGGTACCCTCTGATAGAGTTTTTTACGCTCTATCCATCCATATGCAGATTACCTCAGATTTTATCTATCTTCGGAAAACATAAAGCAAAACATTATTTTTTTTTTATTTTTATTGCGCCAAGAAATTGCGATTTTTTAGGTATTTCGTTTTTTTAATCCACAAAAACAAAGAAATCCTGTATGTTTGATATACTTTTTGAAAGAGCATGAAGAGCGGTATTGTAGAGTTGCATAAGGCAAAACAATGGGTAATTTTTGGATTTTTTCTGTTGGCTGTCGTGAGGGAATTAAAATCATTAGGTAAATGCTGAGGACAGAGCTCTGCTTAGCTGGAAGCGAGTCAAGCTGGACATCATTTCTAAGAGAAAAATAAAGCTGATATCGCTTTTGCGTTATCTCGGTGGATAGAACCCACGAGCATGTAACCCTAACATTTTCTGAGTGAATGATAAAAAAATTGGTTTCCATCCCTGAACCATCTATCTGGGCGAGGGGGGGGGGGGAGGAGGGGAACAAGAACAAGAAACAAAGACAAGTGAGATAGAGGTTAATTTTTTTCAAAATGCAAGGTGCTTGGATCCAGAATCTATCTAGTTCCAGCTTGTGACCTGGCTCCAGTGTAGATTTCGCTCGCCAAACCCAAATTCGCTGTTTTAATCTTTCAAGGCTTTGGTACTAGAGGAATCATCTTTAATCGCCTCTCAGCTTGGACATGACAGCCTCTACAATGCCTGTAGTGTGTTGGCACCAGAAAATCATATAAACCCTTATATCTTCAAAATTGTTAGCTGTGACTCTCTCTCTCTCCTTTTTCATTTTCGCAGCATAGCAGAATCGTACTGTAAAAAACTTTACAATTGCATAAAAACGTTATTTGGGCTCCAGATTAGGTATAGCAACTGATTTGTCCTTAAGAAACTGGAAGAGGGGAAAGAATTAGACCAAATGTTGAAAGCAACTGGATTATTTGCCTTATACAAGTAGGTATATATGGTCGCGTCATTTGACTTATTCGAATATTGAAAAACTGGAATGTATCTGTATTTGTTCATTTGAATTCAAATAACTGAAAAATCGCAAAACAAACAATATTCCTTCCTTGATTTGAATATTTTACGAAAGTCGACTGTCGATATTCGTTCATTCGATGAAACTTTCGGTCGTTAAAGCTGTAGTTTACTGATCAATTTCGAAAACTCTTCCCATGACGTTTACCAAAACATTGTCATGAAAATTATCACGCTTACCAAGTGCTTTCATTACCGTAATACTTTGTACCTGCCATCTGTTAATTTCACTTAGTCAAGTGACCAATTAACACATTTCGGATTGCGAAATCGCGTAAGGCGAAATGAGTGTACTTTCAGCCTACTGTAACTTTTTCAATAACTTTTTCCCTTCGGATATAGCGCACTCATTTGCAAAAATTATGACGTGAGCTACATGTGCAGTTACTGTTCTGCCAAATTGAGACGTCGCAATAAGGATTGGATAGGTAGGTGTATGGTAAGGAAGAAAAAATTGCATCATTACAATTTGGCTGAAAGGCTTAAGTGACGGATTATTATCCGCATGCTGTTTGCGAGAACAAATATCAAGATGCGAAAATCTGCAGATTCGTTGCAAAGCCGAGCAAAGCTTAATAATATCTCAGTCTCAAATGGTAACCAAATTCACTCGCACAAGGTACACATCGTCATTTCAAACACTGTTTCTCTCTTGAAAAATCAACAAATAAAATAGCATGCAATGCATCTTCACACTGCCGCGCTATCTTACAATCGTTATTCTATTCGTCATTATATATTTCAAAAAATACCGAAGACTCAGCTCCACAAATTTACCTAAAAATCACGAACCTGCGCTCTTTAAATTAATATATTTGAAATACAACATGTAAACAAACTTGCAAAAATCCCCTGCTATGATCAGCAAAGTATACTCTTTCAAATATGATGCTCTTTATCAGTTTCAAAACAGCATCAGAATTCGTCGCTCAAATAACCGTCTTTAGCATTGCGAAACCTGACCAGTACCGAATAGACAAGGAAATCGTGAAGTTTACGAAACATAGACTCCTGTATTTTCTTCCTGAGGAATCAGAAAATCATAAATTATACACTTGCACATCGAGAATGTGTGAAATTTCATTTGGAACGCAAATGAATATTGTACAGCTGGTCAATTTGTGCTAGTTTGCTTTGTGTATTTTATATGCAAAACCAGTACCTTGTTTTTGATGAAAGCGGTAGCACTCTAATGTTTGTTATTGTCCTTCTATAAGTTATCAATTTTCTTTCCGTAGTCAATGCAAACATTACATAGGTGCCCATGTAATGACAGGTCGTGCTCCTTTTTTTCAGCTTCGGTGGACGACCAGTACGTAAGTACAGAATGTCAGCTGGCATTACCGGCCTTACCCGGACGATCGTCTCAGTTAACGCATTTGCGTTGCAGCTTATAGAGACTCACTTGCTGTAAACCTGAGCCAGCCCATCCTTTACCGCAAAATGAAAGTGAGTCCGCCCCCCACAATCCTGCCGATGTTCACCCGAAAATGTTTCGTAGCAAAAGATAAGAACTCATTTTCACTGCAAAGTGCAAAAATCAATAAGTCGATTAAAGGACCCGGCGAATGGTAAAAAGTAGCATATGTTCACCGCTGTGTCGAAAATATATTATGTGTGCAAAGTCTGTCGCTCATCGGTTCAGTAGCACACTTTTCTATAACGCAAAACAATTCAATAAACAGGCAAAGCTTGAGTTCTATTTGTGTATGAGATATCAATACTTATAAAATATTTGGCTTAACCATCTTTGCCCAAAAAATAGGAAGAGTAATGAATCTGAACCAAAATTCGCATATATGATGTATACGTTGGGGCGTGTGTTAATAAGTCATTTTATTCGGGCTTAAGGATTGCCCCTATCGATTTATTAATACAGTATTTGTCTAGAGAGTTTCTTATGTTGACCCAAAAAGGAGAGAATTAAGGATTCAAAGATTTATGGAATATGGACTAAATTTGGCACCCATAATGTTTGGGGTGGGGCGTATGTTAATAAGTCATTCATTTCAGGACACATAGATTGACCCTATCGATTTGTTGAGTCTTTACGGTTTTGCTCAGCCAATTTTCCGGCCCTAGAATGACAGAAGAATTTTGAACGCAATCTAAAGACGCATGTGTTTTTTTTTTTGAACTCAGTCTAAAGACGCGTGTGTTTTGAACACCGGAGTAAAATATCGGGGAGTGAACTTTGGCAGGTACAGTTTGTCCTAATCACAATCAGGCTGTTTTCGGGTTCTATAGATCACGAAGTTTCACAGAAACTTTTTTATGTGCAAAAAAGTGGTGGTGAAGAGGGGAAGAGGGCAATTTGGCCAAAAGAAGGGCAAGGCAAGTATGCAAAACGCAAGAATGTACAAAATCGTGTAGCTGGGTACACATGAGGAAACAGCGGTGCGGTTAGAAGATGCTGGGAAGGAAATACTGTTGGGACCTTTG